TCATCGCTACCACATGCATAATTAGAAAAAAGTTAAGGAATAAACCTGTATTAGCTGGCTTGAATATTCAGAAATGATATTTTCTTTTCTAACCCAATGTTGCATTTAGTAGTTCTATATAAAACATCTTTATCGTGTTGCCAAATTGTAAGTTAGTTGTCCATATTAACAGCTAATAACTTTATAACGAGGAGAGTATCTGCCATAAATCGAGGCTCCAATTGAGTCATGTAGTCATTGGTTAAGCCAGAAGCTAAGCATAACCACATTGAAGGCAAAATATGCACTCTTCATAACAAATTTAGCCAAAATGATGAGCAAATTTTTGCCAAATTTTTTTATTTGCCTCATCTCATTAGTATTATCCAGCATTTAAAATAACCCCAAATTGATTCATTTATCAGAATATTAATGTACATAGATAGCTTCTCGAAACTCACAATCACATCTCCTCTTTCCACCGCTGTTCATCTAAAAACTTTACAAGAATGAATGAATTTGTTGAAATGAGCCTTAACGAATCGTGGTGTTTGCTAGTTTTATTATTTGCAATTATTCTATATGGGATAGCTTTCTAATTAATCCTGATTAGTGTATAAGTTTTTGATAATTTTTCACTCATTATTTACTCATTAAATTCTGTACTATATATTTGAGATTGATGGTTAGATTTACGGTTAAATCGTACACCATTTCATAGCATGCTAGAACTAGTTTGGATGATTGTTTGGTAGATTTCCACTCTATATCAACGTTCGTGAAAAGGAGATTCGCAGGTCGATCTCACCAGAAGACGAATACTAATTCGCGTTTAATATGACCTTCAGGTTGACGCATTCCGCGTGACATCCCTCCTCGTTTCAGGTGAAAACTAACCAAGCCTTCGTCCATCATATGATGAGCATCTTCAAAGCTGGAACTCATTCTTGTAAAAGTCTCGTGTTAACACTTTATCAAAGCACAACTACTTCCACTACTTATGAGATAAGCCCCACTATTAGGCCTTAAGTCGCCCTGATTTACCATTTACGAATTACTTATTCTTTCTACACATGCAACAAACAAAAGCAATATTCCATTTAGAGTGCATATATTCTGCTAAATAATAAAAATGCATAACGATAAAATCCGAAAGACAACCACTTGAATGAATGTCTTAAGAAGTATATAAGATGTATTCGTTTAAGGTGATGAAGGACCTTAAACGAAATTGGGTGAATACATCTTATAACTGATTTACTGGTAGTCACGAAAAACAATAATTAATTCGAAAAATAAAGTATATTAGTCGATTGTTATAGCAAAACATACGTTTGCTTCATCGAAAATTCCACATAAAATATATGATATGGCAAAAAAGGCCTGGCCTTCCTTGAAAATTCACATTTTTCTTGTGACCCAAAAGAATA